TTTCCAAGAGAATTAGGATTTTTTTCTCAGTGCACTGTATAGCAGCGTGAGGAAGACAAACCACCCTAAGTTCCTTGCAGACTCTATACAATAACATCACAGAAGAAGGGAGGACTCACCCAGTCTCTGAAAAGCTTTGCTGCCAGATTTTATTTTGACCCACATACTAGTAAAATAACTAGTGTCATATCAGTGCATCCTCCTCATCTGACGGAGGAACCAGTACTGACAAGTGTGGAAGCCTCCTCCCCTCACTCTGTTTGCTAGAGGGAGGGTCACTGCGACATTGAGCTAATACAGATAAGGAGAGGAGGAATTTAGATGGTGGGCAGTCACAACAAAAATAGTCTTCTCTCCTTTGCAACCTATTTCTCCAGCATGCCCATTCCCTCCAGGGTGCAGCTGCTGCTTTCACCCTTCTGTCATCCCTCTTCCAAGTGCACTGATTTTTTTAACAAGCCCTTTTACTTCTTCCACTGTGACTAATGGGGTTACAGCACTGTAGGGCCTTCCCAAGCTTTTCTTTCACAGACAAATCCAGCCCTAAAATATATTTACAGTCTAAACTTCCCTTATACTTGAAGAGTCATTCATCTCCACAGTCATCTATGCTGTAACACTTCCAGGCTCATTCAAACACAAGAAATGCAAAAGAAAAGACAAATACCGCTGCAGAAGACTTTTCTTCTCTCTTTTTTTTTTTTGTTTTTTCTTTTTTTTTGTAAATTTTTCAGTTCAATCTTCTATTTTATTGTTTTGTTCCCAAAAATCTTCACATAAACAGGTAAGCTTAGAGATCTCTTGACTTAACTTGCATCTTGCTTTTAAGATCAACCCTTCTGTGCTGTCTGGTTATTGGCACGAAAGGCATTTATACTCATTTCATATTTTGCATCTCTTTTTCAGGTTTATCTCTGTATGATTCCAGCTGCAGCAATCATATTCCCTCTTCTAGTTTCTGTCTTGATTTCCTCTTGATTCTTTTACATTGCTCACCTCAGAGGAAAGGGCAGAATTTTAGCTCACTCAACATTCAACATATTGCAGTTGGCCAAAAGGCAAAAATTAAGGATTTGCAAATCCATAGTGAACAAATGGGTGCAGCTATACAAAAGGGCACACAACCTGTGAGCATTGTATAGCAATAGCCAACACTGGAACAATACAAAAATGTCCTTCCTAGAGGGAAAAATCTTATGGAAACTCATTCTTCTTCCTGAACTTTACCACCCTTCAAACTCTTCCATCAGTGGCTACTACATCAGAGGGTAGCAAATACTGGTGCATGCAGTGAGCCTTTATTGATTGCAAAGAATCAAGGAGACAAACTGATCCAAAAATTTATTTCCATCATTTTTTTAAGTGGTATATAGCATAGCAATGCTGGAGGACAAACCCAGGTGTGCAAACTGCAAAACATGAGGGAGGGTGGCAGGAAATGTGAGGGTCTTCACAGAGAAAGATCCTGAGCCTCACGATGCAAGGCAGGAGGGCCAGTCAGAGGCTACCCTCGTGGAAGAGGCTGATGGAGGCTCCTGAGACATGGGAGGCTAGAAACACGTGACTTCTTGCAGCAGAAGAAATGTTCCTACTCCACCCTCAGTTCTGAATTTACAGAATCAGTGAAGCGCACTAATAAGCAGTGAGGGAGAACAAGCTCCATTAAAAAAGGCTTTGAAACCAACTGGGCTTGAACTGAGCACTAGCAGAGAGAGCAAGAGGAAGTGGTGGGTGACAGTGGTTGGAGATTCCCTTCTGTGAGAGATGAAGGCACACATCTGCTAAACAGTCTTGCTGTTAAAATGGGTTTCTTTTTTTAGGGTCCCTGATCCAGTACATTGCAGAGAGACTGCCAATGATTTTCCATTCCTTTGACTACCACCCACTGTTGCACACCCACATGGACACCTAAGACACTGCCTGGAGCAAATCAGGACTACAAAGCTCTGGGGGAAAAGTGAAGGAGAGAGGACTCCAGGTTTTGTCAGTCCTATGGGGACAGTGAAAGGGTGATGCTTTCCTGGATTTGCTACCCACAAACAAGGAAGAACTGACCGGAGATGTGATAATCAGTGGCAGTCTCTGCTGTAGTAACTATTAGCTAACTGAGTTCAGGATCCTGAGGGCAGTGAGGAACAAACAGCAGAGTACAGATCCCTGGACTTCAGGAGACCAGACTTCAGCTTGTTCAGGGAACTGGTTAGTGGGAAAGGATTAAGCCACGGGTCTTTTAAGAAATCTCAACTTACAGAATTTCTAGGGACCAGATGGGATCCGTAGGAAGATGCTGAAAGAGTGATGTTACCGCAAGGTCATTCTCTCATACTTCAGAGATTGTGGAGAGCAGAGTAAGTCTCCAACAACCGAAGAAAGGCAAACATTGCAACCCATCTTCAAAAAGGACAGTGGATGTCATTTACTTTAACTTTAGCAGGCTCTTGACACCAGCCTTTTTGTATCCAAGTTGAGATGTTGAAGGCTATACAGCAGGACTAAGGGATGGGTCAAAAACTTGATGGATCATCAGGCTCAAGGAGCATCAGTTAATGGTTTGTACTCTACCTACAGATTAGTTATGGGTAGAATTCCTCAGGGAACCTACCCTGGGACATGTCCTACTCAATATCTTTATCAAGAACATGGAGAAATACACGGTGTCAGAGGGACAGGAGATGCGCAGCCAAACTCTTTAGTGAGGTGCATGCAGGACAACAAGCAATAATGTCCACAAACTGAAAAAGGGGAGGTTTCCTGTGGATATGACACTTTAAACAAGAAAAATCCTGATGAGGAGAATTTTGCAGAATAGGTAGTGCAGTTTCTATCCATGGAGTTTTCAAGATCCAACAGAACAAAGCCCGGTGCAACCCTGTCTGATCTCGGAGCTGACCCATGCAGGAAGCTGAACTGGAGACCTCCTCTGAAGCTCTTTCCAACCTGAATGACTCTCTGGTCCCAAGGAAGCAAGTCCTCTGTTCAGGAGTCCCCAGGCCCCCAAAATTTCTCACTCAGAACACCTCGTGAAGCCAGACGACAAAAGCAACTCTTCTCCTTACTGGTAATATGAGAATTTAGAAGCCTCATGTGGCTTACTTCCCACACCAAACATGGGCAAACCGAAACTGGAAATTCACTGCAACTGGGCAGAAATATTCACTCTAGAAATGTTAATTCGATAAGTCTGTCAAACATCAGATGAAATACTAGCAGCCTGGTAATACACAGGAGATGACTTTACTACTGGAAAGTTAATTACAGGGTCAATTTTTGATACCAAATGATATTTACAAGCCTGTAAATCTCTCCTTAAATAAAAGATCATGAATCTTTTGGAATGAGTTACCAGACAAATTCAAATGTCATTCCTGCAAATTAATGGCCAGGATTAAACTGATGCAACTCCGGTGACTTCAACACCTGAATCTACCAGCTAAGATTTGTCCCAGGGTTACAAATTATGCTCGATAAATTAAGGAGCACATACCGACTCACATACTTAGCACCCACTGAATAACGCAAAAATTCAAAGAACAGGCTGTTATGTATCCTTACTTGCATTAAATAGCAGATGAAAATTCAACAGAAATATCTTATCATTTAGCAACCGTCTCAGCCAATTTTCATTTTTTAGGATTTTCTCCCTCAAATATTGCAGAGCCCTTTCCTTCCCATGCAACTTTTTTCAACTGCAACTCTAATTTCCAGATTTCTCATTACAGTTAGATAATTTCCTGCAACTCTCTCCTGTTGATGTTACTTCATTTGAGCACTTTTCCAATACATCTGCTTATCTGTGATCCACAAGATCCTTAGATCTCTGGGAGAGATCTGAAATTCTAGTAGCTCCTGTTCAGCCACGGAACAACAGAAGCAAAGCCCTTCTTAAAGCTCGTGAGTTTCTGGAACAAGTTTGTGAAAGATTCCAGCATGCCTTGTATTTCCTGGCTAAGGAGCTTCTACTTCATAATTATGATCCACCAAAAATGTTTGTTAGTGCTCAGTCACACTTCTGAAAAGAAACTGAGAAAAAGATTTGGCAACTTCAGATGTAATGACTATGGAAATCGTGAAGATGATGTACTTATGTACACATAGTTTACGCTATCAAGTTCAATAACATACACCTCAACAGTGTACATAAGCAGATATACTCAAAATGAAGAGATATGGATAAGAGGAAAACAAGTTGAATATAAAATTGCAAAATATTTTCACAGTTTCATCGAAGACGTCACTTTTCTCTTGCTTGTTACAGATCATGTTTCTGGAAATAACAATGTTGCATACATCCAGAATAAACACAGCCAAGTAGGACAAAATGCTCTGTGAATTGCATCTCTCACATACTGCAAGAAATTAAGCGAAATTAGCTTCTTCTCATAAGCAGAGATTCCAAAGAATTTGTAGGAGTCAAATAGTTTTTGACACAGCTGGTAAGCAAAGATCTTAAAAATTACGGATTTTGAATGACAGGATCAAATCCAGCATCAAATCTTACTGCAAATGTCAACGCTGGCCTAAGTCGTGGTCCGAGACCAGAGACCACACACCTACCGTGAGCTCCTGCAGGAGGGTAAGCAGTTTGGCACCAATCCAGGGAGGTACTCAAGTTCACACTTAACCTTAAATGCATGGACATCTCCCCTGAAGATGACAGAACTACTCATATGCCTAATGTTAAATATGCCCTTAAGTGCTTTACTGGGATAGGGCCAGAGGGCTCGGTACCTTACAGGAATGAGCTCACGGTGGGGCGTGCAGCAATAGCACGGCAGGGACATCAGGAGCACAAACACCTCTGGGTGAGCCCCTCTTGCAGTGTGCCATTCAGAATCACAGTGCCAACACAGTGCAAGCACAAGCAGCCGCGTGGGTACAGAGAGGGATGAGGATGTCTTGCCTAAGAGTAATCAGAGTAATTACAGAAATGTGAGGAATGACAGGATCGGAAGGAAGATAAACTGCCACCGATCCCTAACATACTCTCACTAAAAACCATATTTCTGCAGTGAGGAAATTGTATTTGCAGTCCCTACACAAACTGACAGGCCGTGTCCGTGCACACACACCTCATCACATCATGTCCGAGCTCGACAGTTCAAGTGCACCCAGCAAAGGCAATTAAGACCCGCAGCACACTACAGCGCCTAACATCTTCAACACAAACATCAGGATCATGTTTGACAAGGTCCACCAGCCACAGACACCATCCAGGTCTTGAACTCCAGGTGATCATCATGTTATAACACACTCTTTTCCTCTGTCCCAACACCGTCTTCAAAAGACTGGACACAGAGGCACATGTAAGCACTGCTGCTTGTCTACACACCCCCTACATCACGCTCCCGATGCTCTGTGCTCCAAAGCCACCCTTTCTGGCCACAGCCCGTGCCAGGGATGGCACACAACTTCCTCGCATGCTGCGTGCTGTCTGACGTGCTGCGTGCTATCTCCCTGCCAGCTCCTTACTCTGCACGCTTCTGAGTCAGCGAAGGGTATGTTCCACTTTCACAGGGACTCACGATTTGGTGAGAGACAGTAGAAGGATCTGGACTCAAACAACCCAGAAGCAGCAGCATATGGGCCTGTCATCTACAAAAGCATTCTGCATTAGCCTAGCCTAACCTTCTGTACTATAAAAAACATATTACAGCTGAACTAGATGCATTTATTTATATGTTTATAAACTATAAGCACATATCATTAGCTTAAAAAAGGGAACACAGTTAGTCATGTAACGCTACAGGTCGTATTACTACACAACACCCCGATGTCCTGTGATCACACAAAATATTAAAATACCATTATCCCATCGGTGGTAAACTGCACTGTTGTGCCAAAATACCATGATTAATGACATCACTGTAGTTAGGGACATAATATCAGGCAATCACTTTGGTCCTTTTTAATGTTGGGATTCTTCAGCACTGTGCCCAAATATAACATACATTTCCAGGAGGGAGACAAGATTTTTGGGTTATGAAAGTAACTTTGGAGTAACAGGAGTCCAATGTAAATCAGACAGATCCTTTGATCTGTCTGATCAGTGGATCACTGATTTTTCGTATTCAGCCATTTGGATGTGATGGAGAGAGGAGACTGAAAGGAGCACAGCTCAGGGAGGTATCTGCCTCACCTGACATGTGCAACCTTACCCTGTGAATTCCCAGGGACTCCTCTGGAACTTGTAGCACGGGGCTTTGAAAAGTGCTTATAAAGGATCTGCTGCCCAGGGAAATTTCATTTTTCTGCTTCTGCATGCTCAGAAAGCACCTTCTGAAGAAAACCCATGAGTAATTAGAAATAAGGAATACAAATTGCAAATCCAACTAGCAAGCAGATATTTGGGGATGAGGATGAGACTTCCGATTCATTCAGCAAGTTTGCCTTGTGAGAGCACCATAATCACGCACTAAGTTACAAATTGGCACTGGATATCAGAGAACTGGCTCTGGCTCTGTTGTGAGAGTTTCACTATTTACTTCAGCACAGTTGTTTCACCCACATGGTGAAATGGGTGTTCCCATTCATAATGACATCCTCTGACACTGGCAGTGGTGTTGCAATTCAGCAGGGAATTGAGCAGAATGAATCATATGTGCCCTCTGGTAGCTTTTATTTGGAAGAATCTCGGCACTCTGCTTTGCTGTGGGCTACATTTTGTCGCCCAGGAGAGACTACTACACTTCTTTCAAGGAGTTTCCAGCAAACTCCTGTCATAACAGTGTAAGGATTCAGGGGTTAAGCTGCAGACTCCATGGATGGCTCTGGAGCTGCAAAAAGATACGGCTTGCTTTACGATGGCTTGCTCGATCCCCTGTGGTTCTCCCTGGTACTTTTCAGCATTGTTCCTTTTTCCACAGCTCTGAAAAGACTCTGAGTGTGACTTGAAAGCATGGATGGGCCTTGCAAAAGCACCTTCTCGTCCTGAATTACATTTTTAGCTTCCCGAATTTCCTTTTTAGTTTGTTTCTTTACTAGCTGCCAAGGCCACAGCAAAGCAGGTAGCCTTGCCCACCCTCTCTCCGTGTGCACAGGCCACCCTACAAAAGAGGAAGGAGTTCACCAGACAGTGGTACAGAAAGAGCTGACCAGGGGATCTCCATGGGGTACCGCTTACCTCTGAAAATGTAACCACTGAGACAACAAAGACACACTGGCTACTGCTGACTGCTGTGCGTGCTTGTCTGGGGGGCTTGCGGGCCCTCTTGAGCAAGGCCAGTCCCGGGAGGTCTGGAGAACACCCGCCACCGAGCAAGCAAGCATAAATAACTCGTGAGCAATGGGCATAACAACAAGCACAGCCCAGTGCACAGGAGTCAAACTGATGGGCTTTTTTTCCATTTCTGATGTAGCTGCAATGACACGAGATGTGAATGCACAGAATAAGGTAGGAGATGCTTTATCTAGGCTCTGTGGAAAATACAATGAGGTATGACTAATTCTTGGCAGAAAAGGGCGCACTGAGCGAACAGCCCGAGTCTTGAGCCTGACCCAGCATGCCCTCAGGTGTTCCCTCAGACACATCCTTCCTGAGACATAGCTGGGAAGGACGCTCCAGGATCTGCTAAGGGATCATCTCTGTAGAAACAGAAAGCACCGCACAGATCTTCAGGGCTGCCGGCGCCAGGGCTGATGCGCAAAGCCGAGCACGGCTCTGAAGTTCCCCTGAACTTCGCTCGCCTTTGGGTCCCCTCACCGGGGACAGCCCTTGAGTCATGCACAGCAGCACCAGCGACAAGACCGGCATGCAGGGCGAAAGCTTAGCAAAACCCCGGGCAGACTTACGCAGTGGTTCTCGTTGACGGCGAAGTGCGTGGAGGCGCAGGCTTGCTCCCTCATCTCCTCCATCCCGAAGATGCAGACGGCGGTGGCGTTCCAGGTCTTGGTGCTGTGGCTGTGGTTGAAGACGCCCACCCACCAGCCCTTGGCGCCCTGGCGGACGAGGCTGGAGGACACGATCAGGCTCCTGCAGCCGCAGTCCAGGTACACCTGGCCTCGCAGGGAGAAGCCGCGCTCCGAGGGCTGCAGCTGGTGCAGCACGGCCATGCTGGGCGGCTCGGGGTCCGTGCCCGACTTGGCCTTCCAGCGGTAGTAGGGGAAGAAGAGGTGGCCGCCCCACCACAGCGCGTCGACGAAGTGCAGCGGCTCCACGTGGTACTTGATGATGCCCAGCTCCTCGCTGGGCAGCAGCGAGTCCGTGGGGCGCACGGTGATGGCGGTGGTCTGGTCGGACTCGGAGGGCTCGCAGCCCTCCCTGGCCTCTCGGCGCCCGGCCGAGTAGGTGGCGGCCACCGCCAGGTACCAGGCGCCGGCCTGCTGGAACACCACGCCGGCCGTGGAGCCGCCGGGCAGGCAGCTCACCACCTCGGTGCGGTTGAAGCGCTGGCGGTAGGCCGGCCGCTCCCACACCTCGCAGCTGCCCGACGCCCGCGTCCAGCCGGCCAGCAGCACCCCGCCGCCGGGCTCCTCGTAGGGCAGCAGCAGCTTGCTGCGCACCCCGGGGGGCTCCCCGCAGCCCGAGCCCTCGGCCAGCGGCGGCACCCGGCGGCGCGGCCGCAGCTCGGGCAGCAGCTCGTACAGGCAGCTGCCGCCGGCCACCAGCACGCCGCCGCCGCTCACCTCGATGTTGTCGATGGGGGCCCCGGGCAGCTCGAACGACTGCGGGCCGCCGGCGCCCGCCAGCGCCGCCAGCAGGGCCGGCAGCAGCCAGCCCAGCCCGGCCGGCGGCGCCATGGGCGCGGGCAGCGCGGGGCTCGGCGCCGCGGGGCGCCTTCAGGCGGCGGCGGGCGGCGGGCGACGCTGCGCCATGCTGCGCCCCGGGCCGGCCGCCGCCGCCGCCGCCGCCTCCTCCTCAACCTCCTCCTCCTCGGCGGGGCGGGGAGGAGAGGAGGGGGCGCGGTGCGGGAGCGGTGGGCCGGGCTCCTCCGGGAGGGCTGCCCAGGCACCTCGCCGCCCTGCGGCGCCGCTCGCCTCGCCTCGCCTCGCCTCGCCTGGCTTCTCCGCCCTCCCTCCCTGCCTCCCTTCCCTGCCGCCGCTCCCCGCCTCGCCGCGGACGAGGGGCGGGAGGCGGCCCCGCCGCCGGGCGTGCGGGGGGACGGGGAGGGGAGGGGAAGCAGGGGAGGGGGCGAGGCGGGGCGCCGAGCGCTGCCCACACCCCCGGAGCCTCGCCTCGCCTCGCCCCCGGGCGACCCGCGGGGCTGGCACCCCCTCGGGGCACCCCCGGCAGGGCTCCGGGCCCGCAGCCCCAAGGGGGTCGCTGCCGGGGTCCGCCGGGAGCCGGCGGCCGGGGAACAAAGAGCCGCTCCGGCCGGCCCCGCCAGCCCTGCCGGGCAGGCAGGGGGCTTCTGCCACGGCTGGGCACGGAAGGGGGGCTGTGGAAGCTGGCAGAGACCCGTTTATGTCCTCCCTTTGAGGTCTGGGTGAGCATGGGCGTACAACCCATGGCCCCTTCTGCTGGGAAGAGGACGCAATTCTCCAAGCCGACACCACTTTCTCTAACACCGACCCTCCATTTACACTGCTTTTGCCCCAAAGTGGCTTTACAGCAGGACAAAATAAGAACTAGAACAAACATATCCCCTGTACTAATGAGTCCAGCGCCATGTTTCCAAGTAGGAAGCACGGGGCAGTTAGCGAATTTGTGTCCTCTTTCTCCATTTCCGTACGAGAATCATTGTGCAAGAATTGCTGTCGCTCTGGTCAGCAAAAATATTTTACCAACTTGCAGCAATCAGGGGCTAGGACGCACACACCCATCAAATTCAAAACCCTGCACAACTTGTTTGCTTATCACAGTGACTTTGACACAAAACGTGTCAAAGATCTACAAAATGCACGGGGAGCGTGGAAGAGAATCGTTGCACGAGGATGCGAGGTGTAATGCTAACAAACACTGCCTGCAGCTCCCTGCGCGGGACTGAACTTCTTCTCATCTTGTCAGCAGGTAAACAAAGCATTACAGATCATCGTGCCGGTATCACCAAAATAGGCTGTGTACACAAACACAATTTACGCAGCTTTTCAAAGGAGGCTGAACGTGTCACACGAGTGCACCATGTGCTGCCTTGACTTGTCGTGCTCACAACTGTGAGGCTGAGGGAGAGTGAACCCACTTCAAGGGTTCTCCCACTTCACTCTCTGTGGCCAGTACCAGAGGTGCCTTGCAGGTCCTCGTCTTGCAACACTGAATTTGGTGTACACTTCCGAGAGCCACTGAAGTGGCTTTATGCTGAAAATCAGTGCATGAAGTTTTGCCCATGAGTGGCAGGGTCCCCTCAGTTCCTTTCAAAGCCATGAAGTAAAGAGGAGCTCTTGTCTTCAGCCTGTCCTTCCTGAGGTACCCAGGAGGACACCAGCAGAGCTGAGCTCCTACTGATGTTATGGAAATAGAAAGCAAGGCTATGGGTTTATTTCGTAATGTTGCTGAGTGTGATAATTCCTATTTAATGCAGAAGACCGGAAAGTGGTGCAATTAGTTTGTAATGCTCTTAGAAAAACTAAACAGAAAATGGCAGGTCATATTGCTGTACTGCCTTGGTCATTGGTCCCATAGTTGGTACAGGTATGCTATTGTTGGCTACGTTTTATTTCTCAGTCACCTCAGAAGGGGCAAACAAGGGCATCTGCCTGTTCATCTTACATTTTACAAAGCATTGCTGGCTAACTCTGGCACTCCAACCTAAATTTCTAAAAAAGCTAGGGAAGCAAAATGAGCCTCTTTCACTCCAAAGAGCTCTCTTAGACCTTCATCAATATTAGCAGAACACATCCTGAATTAACTTATGATTGCCTTTCCCACTGTGGATCAGCTGCCTAATTCCCTCCTTATTTCTGATCTGCATGCTAAATTTCTCAGCAGTTATGACTACACAGAGAATCTGACAAAATATTAGTCAATAAATGAGATTTATGTTCTTTAATTTATTTAGCTTAACTTCGATATTTTTCCTGTTTTGGAACTCCAAGCCCAATTAAGATTTGGGCTGATCAGTTTGTTTAATGCACATGGTTACCTTAGCTTGGTTCTGAAATTATTTTTTTTTTCTCAAAGGATGAATAACCTGCTGTTTATAAAGCAATAACAGGTAACATTACTCAATTATCGGTAAATTTATCAGTAAAGCATTTTATCATCAGTGTAATATTTGAAAAAACTGCACTTCTCATTCTGTAGCTAAGTTAATTTTGTAATGTAACTAAATGTTGACTAAATAAAAAGGAAATGCTGGGCAGCTTTTCAAAAATCTTTGCTGATAAGGATTCAGTTCCTCACAGAGTAACTGCATTTGACTACTGAAACTGATTTTGCAATGTTGGATTTCATTTTTTTTTTTTAAATGCATCATTTAGTCTAAAAATTACCGACCCTTTTGCATTTTTTGATGGTCTTCACAGCGAGGAAATGTCAGCTTCAAGAACAGACTCCTTTCTGACCCTCGAGGAAATTCCTACCGCTATTGCAAAAAATGAGCAATTAACTCTGAAAGGTCTGCAAATAATACAAATGAAGGTAGAGGAGATTGGCCTGAATTCATGAATCTACTAGTCATATTTGCCTACATTAAAATATTCACAGGTATTAATGCTTCCTGTATGGTGGGAGGGGGAGGGAAAGAAGGAATGAAGGGAAGGAGGGAAGGAGGAGAAGAGGGAGAGAGAGAAGGAGCAAGGAAGGAAGCAGATTTTCATCCTATTTTCATTACAAGCACTATAAAAATGTGGATAAGAAAGCAGGCAGCCCCTATTGTGTAACTAAAATGCAGTTTTTAAGTCACATTATTTGTTTTCTTTTCAAATGTATTTTGAGATACAGTAGCAATGTTACAGAGAAGGAACTGAGGAGTACACACAGGAAAGATAGTTTGCTCTTCTGTGTGTTTGAAAATGCTCGTAATCAAAACCAAGATGACACTGAGAAAGTTGATTTTGTGTCAGAAACACAACCAGGGAACCTTTGTTCTAGATGACCTGTGCCTCAAGCTTCCTATGTAACACTGGACAAGAAAAATCTCTCTCTGAACCCCCTGTTTCTCTGCTGTGTTTATGAGAGAAATAAAATTAGTTAGATTTCAAGGAAACTCCGTGGATCAACATTAGGAAAGGCACTATATAAACGGGAAATAAAATTACAGGATTACAGGAAGGCACACTTGCAATACAGATAACATCACAAGTGAAAACAACTTAATGTTTTTTATGCTTAGCTTATCATAACTTCCACGTCTGATATGTATCAACAGCTATGTTTTACCTAGAATGTATTTATTTTATTTTATTTTATTTTATTTTATTTTATTTTATTTTATTTTATTTTATTTTATTTTATTTTATTTTATTTTATTTTATTTTATTGTTTGTACCTCGGCATCCAACAAAATAATGTCTCCATGAAGTAACTGCAAAGCAAGAGAGCTGAACAAGATCAGTCTCCTTTTTTCCTCCCCAGCTGGTAGGGTCCATCAGCAGCTTGACCAGGCTTGTCCCACAGCTGCAGCTGAACAGTGACTGGATGGTACTGGCCAAACACTGGTAACACACCTGAAACTTGTATTTTCTTCTGTATTTGCATCTACTGTTTGGATGCACACAAAAAGGACACAGCACACAAGGAATTCTGGACACAGAGCTTTGTCCACAGCCCGCTGGGGATGGGTTTAGTGTGTCAGTGTAATTTCCCAACATCCAAGGCAATGCAGAATAAGAAAGGCACAAAGGTGTCACAAAACCATGGTAGGCTCCTCCATCCTCTGTAGGCACGTTTGTTGTTTCATTTTTCTGGTGCTGCCTATCTATGAAGGCAAAAAAAAAACAACAACAACAACAACAACAAAAACAACAAACAACAAGGAAACAAACATGAATTTGAATAAAAGGGGCCAGGGTTTGGGTGAAGGAAGAGTGTTGTGAGTATGACAAGTGAAAATCAAGTGAGAGTATGTCCTGGTTTCAGCTAGGATAGAGTTAGTTTTCCTCCCAGTAGCTGGTAGGGTGCTGTGTTTGGGATTTAGGATGAGAAAAATGTTGATAACACACTGATGGTTTAATTGCTGCAGAGCAGTGCTTACACCAAGCCAAGGACTTCTCAGCTTCTCGCTCTGCCCTGCCGGCGGGAGGTTGGGGGTGCAGCAGGAGCTGGGAGGGGACAGAGCCAGGACAGCTGATACAAAATGGTCAAAGGGATGTCCCGTACCTTATGGAGTCATGCTGAAAAATTAATATGGGGGGGCTGGCAGGGGTGGAGGGACCACTGCTTGGGCATAGGCTGGGTGTCGGTCAGTGGGTGGTGAGCAAGTGCACTGTGCATCACTTGTTTGTACATGTTATTATTATTAGTAGTGTTATCAATATTATTATTATTATTCCTCCTTTTCTGTCCTAATAAACTGTCTTTGTCTCAACTCACGAGCTTTCATTTCTTTCGATTCTCTCCCCGATCCCACAGAGGGAGGGGGAAGGGTGACCTAACGGCTGTGTGGTGCTGAGCTGCCAGCCCAGTTAAACCACAAGAGAGTGTAAGGGTAACGCTGAGGATTACTGAGGGAAAGAGGGTGAACCACGAAGGACAAGAAAGGATGTGAGCCGGATGGGAGCAAGGGATCAATATCTTTTTAGATAAGTGAGATCAGAGGGTAGATAAAGCTGAAGAAGAGGCCGATAACAGTCTGCTGTTATATATGCTGTTACAACTCCTTGGGGACCTGCGTGGGGTGGTGTAACCACCAGCAAAAAGTCTATGGTCTCCAGGTAAACTGTTGCTTCGCAGGGTCCCACTAATGCATCTGAGCTCCTTGCCCAGGGACGTACACCCTTCTGATGATCAGCGTGTGACCCTGGGCAATGCCGTGCCAGCAGAGTGCTCCGGGTGCAGATAATGCTTCGCTTCACGGGACTGGCATGATGCAAACAGAAGGCTCGCCCTCCAGCTAACTGTGGCTGGAAATGTAGAGATAAGCTCTGACTATCAGCATGTGGTCCTAGAAAGTACTTTTAACAGGAGCAGTAACCGCAGAGAGCAACACTGCTCTCAGTGTGGAACTTATTAACTTTATGGCAGGGGGTGTGTGACATGGAAACCTGCGGGAATTTATGACCCAGAGGGCTCCTTCCAGTGCTTCGTTCTTATGCCATACTTGCCAGCAAGGGTGGTGATGGGATGAGTTACCTCTGGTAGCACAGATGCTTTCAAGAGTGACCCAAGCTCTTGATCAGGCTGTCTTTAGAAAGTGATAATGATCATGCAGTGCAAGTGGCTAAGATTTATAGCAGGGTTTGAACCAGTAGCGACTTTGATGAAATGAGGAAACAGAAAATGCTTTGTGATGTGTCCCTTCCTGTGTGAGCCCGAATACAAAACCTCCATATTGCCAGTTCCTCAGTGTCAGACAAACATGCCCTGAGTAAAAGCAGAACAGATGTCATCTGCCACATCTAGCTGCTCCAGCAGAAAAGAAATATTATCACAAACCTGTTGCAAACTCCTTTAATTCTTCCCCTGGCAGGACTTACCGACTCTTGACACCTGCAGAGCAGATACTCTGCTGAGAGCTTACCAAACAGTTTCAAACAAAATCTGCTGGATCATCATGTTTGCTATTTAGCTGTCTAAACCACCCCATCTGACCCATCTGATCCAAATAAGACAGATAGAGGGGAGGTTGTGCAAGTTTTTCTGCTGCCAGATCTGGAGGGCTGATAAATTCAAGAAAAGGGTTGTGCTGATAAACAGCTGCGTATGGGCCGAGCAGTGGCAAAGGAAATGGTGGCCATCCCCTGAAGAGTGCGGGTAAATCTCTGGTATCTGCTGATATAAAGTGAGGCTGAGCAAGAGGCACACATCCCTCTCACAGACACCATGACTGTTTCTTAACTTACCTTTATATTAAAGACTCATTAGCTCTCATTAAAAGTACCCCAGCAGTGAAAACACCAAAACCTCTGTGTTCATCAGCACAGACGGTTGCAGTGATTTTCTGCCTAAATATTTTCGCATCTCTGGTGCTCTTTCCTTGTTCAGTTTTGTCCTCACCCCACTCATAACAAACATTACAGATTTATAAACAATATCTAATAGATAACTCTAGCAATAGTTTTTTTTTTCTTTTATTAAATACAGCTTTATCACCTGTTTTCAAGAAATTGTCACCTAGCAGAGTTTGAAAAGCTTGTGTCATTCCATTAATAAGAACCTTCAAGTCCTAGAAAGTCTTAAAAGGCATGCTAAAATTCATCCATCAAATTTATTTCAAATTAAAATCACAATTCTCACTTGGAGTTAAAAAAAAAAAAAGAAGTGCTCAAAATTGAAAAATAAAATACTGTAATCTTCCTCAGAGTTAAACTAAATGAATGACTGCTTTGGAGTCATTTCCATTTTAGTTACAGAATTGGTGCTTCAGCACTGTAACACTGACATTTTTTCCTTTACTTCCAGTATGTGGACTAAAAGAAGACAGAGTACTGAGCCTTCTTCTCTGGCATGCATCCTCTTTGGACTAGCATCCTCCATGATCTCTTGTGTGCCAGAAATGACAGTGCCCTCCGCACGCTCTCCTCCTTGAGCCTGGGAGCCCTCCCATCCCAGCCTTGCTTGGTGCTAACTGTGGGAGACAGCCCTTCTGAAACACTGAGCAGGGGCAGCCAGCCACTGTTGGGTGTTCTGCCCTCTGCAGACCCATTCCAAGACGTTAAAATATTTATCTGCATCAGAGAGAGGCTCAACTTGCCTGCAGAATGGCATCTTGGGTTTTTATTTTATAATTAAACATGTAAACAACATGCCAGTGCTAGATAGATTAAGATACATGGAATTAAAGTTGATTTCAGAATAGAAATAATTTTTTTTTCTTTTTCCAAATGCTTGTTCATTTAAGGGACTGTTTAACTAAGCATCTATTTAAATAGGTAGCTACCTCTCCTAGCATTCTGACCTCCAAATTTTGAAATATTGCTGGCGAGAGAAAGAAAAATAACGGTGTCATTTCCCAAAGTTAAAGGTCTACTTCACAGCAATTATGCTGTGAAATTAATGACTTGCCAGCAAAAAAGAACTTCACAACTCGCTGTGCATAAGAAGGCAATGAGTGATGCTAGCTCCACTTGGAGGGTAAGCTGAAAACTTTTCTGGAGTTCCTGACCAGCCTTGATCTCTCACTGCTGGTGCTTGACCTTTCCAGATACATTCTCACCTCACTGTCTCCATGGCTGGTTTTTGGGACCACATCTTCAAGGAAAGGTGAAAGTTGACACAAGTTCAGCTCATTAATCATCATTCTGGCAATAGCTTATCAGCTATCTCAGTCTCACTTCCCCCTTTTTCCTTGTGTTTGGAGACTTTTGCATGGAAACAGGATGTCAGGGGCTGACGAACTAGTCCAATGCTTCAGGATGTTCATTGCCCAAAGGCTGCACTCTGCAAGCTGATATTGTTTTCTTCTGTGGTCATCTAAGAGGAGTCAAAGAGAGAACAGAGGGCTAGACAAACTTGGCATGTAAAAAAAAATAAAAAAATCTATAGAGAATGCTGTTTGGTGTATTCTAGGTATCTGCAGTCTTTTACTGGCCATTTTTAAAAACAGTATCGACATGACAGGAGTGCTTAGTTTGTCTTTTCACCATTTTAATGAAAGTCTAATTAATTAAGTTAGCTGAATTAATTAAGCTAGTGAAATTAACGTAGACAGCTTTCAGTTTTGTGTCCAGAGGCTACAAACACAGTTTCTGCCAAATTATCTCCTCAGTAGTTACACTCTGGGCTGATAGAAAGACCCAAGATATACAATACCTTTGCCACTCAAGAACAGTGGAATTAAGCATTTTAATTAGGATCATAATTGTTTTTAATTAGTGCCGTGCACTAGATGGAAGAGTTTGCCTTTCCTTGAATGCTGTTGAACAGTGGTGTCTCTGAAGAAATGGGGCAATCCCTTTAATTTGATAGGATTTTGTTTGATTTTTTTTTTCTTTCTTCTAATGTGTTCCTTCACTGTGTTAATTCTGAGGACCTGATTGAATTGTCATTGTCTCTGATGGTTCACCAGTAAATTTAACCAAAAGGTAAATGCAGAAGAGCTAGCATTTGGTGGTTGTATCACCGGAATACCATTTGGAAAGCCTGTCTCCAATCTTTTTATTGTTGCTAATTTTGCAATGAAGAGTAAACTAGTAGCTAGATTACCTTTCTTTTTCTTCTTCTTTCTTTCTTTCTTTCTATTCTTTCTTTCTTTCTTTCTTTCTTTCTTTCTTTCTTTCTTTCTGTCTTTCTTTCTTTCTTTCTGTCTTTCCGTCTTTCTCTCTCTCTCTTTTCTCTTTCTCTCTTTCCCTCCCTCCCTCCCTCCCTCCCTTCCTTCCTTCCTTCCTTCCTTCCTTCCTTCCTTCCTTCCTTCCTTCCTTCCTTCCTTCCTTCCTTCCTTCCTTCTTCCTTCCTTCTCTCTTGCTCTCTTGACTTCTCTCTCTCTCTCTCTCTCTTTTATTTTTATTTTTTTCCATTTTCCACTCCCTTGCTTTCTCTTTCTCTCTCCCTCTTTTTCTCTTTCTTTCTCCTCTTATTTCTCCCTTAACCACCCCATCTTTCAGGTACCTTTTTCTTCATGTTCCTAAAAATGCTGCATGCTCCTTCACAAATTCCCACTCCTGTGGAAGTGGCTTACACCATGGTGTATGACCATATTCCTGCAGACTCCCCTTCATTCCTCTCCTTTCAGTCTGGGATGTTCATTGCAAGTTCTGGGCAACAGTTCTGTGTTGCATGCCCTATTTTGTCTCTTTCTTGAATAAAATCCACATTGTGAATGTGAGGTCAGAGCATCTAGTTTGTCAGAGAAAAATAGGAACAGCAGATTCAGGAAGCAAGAAAGCCTTGGATATATGAGATCACTTTGCTTCCCCGTTATAAAAGCCATTGAGCTTATTTGTTATCTGCAGAAATAGCTTACCTCTTCTGTTACCTCTTCCGTTACAAATACCTGTGGCATTCCTCATTGTCCACATATACATTGAGGATGCTCTATTTTCCTCATATCCTCTAACTTAAGCAACTCACCAGGGAACCTACTAGATGACTTCCTATCCAAACCACCCTCTAGGTATGACACCACTTATATAGAATCAAATATTTACTGTCCAGTCTGCAGCTAAACTTAAATTACTGAGGCACACCATGCTTTAAAACCTTTCCATGACTTAATCTATGTGAAAGGATACTGGATATCTTTTCCTTTTTGGAGGAACAGTATATTGCTTTTAGTACTCTAGTTGAAATACAACAGAGACAGGTCCTCAGCTGGTATAAAATGTCGCAAGTCTGCTGTGGTTAATGAAGCAACAGCAGTTTATCCCAAAGGAGGATCTGAAACAGAGGAGAATATTTAGTCTGAATTAAAAGAAAAAAGCTAGAAGTTTGTTAGTCTGCAAAATCAATGCCTGAAAGATTATAGTGTTTTCTATAAGTCCATATTATCTATCTACTTATTACTTTATCTCATAATATCTATATTCATCAGTTCACCAAATAATGCATCGAGCCTCATCCCATTCAAATAATCCTCCAGGTAATATGATGTTAAGCCAAAATCTACTTGGGAAAAATGCCACTCTGTAATAGGATAAGGTAATAAAGATCCAGAAACTAAGAGCTTATCCTGATCCAACATTTACCATGGTAAGTAGTACTGTTTTTCTGTACGTGCATTTCTGTTAAGTATTTCTATGAAATCCAACATGTACTGAAAGCCTTTGAATCATCACTGTGTTAAAAAAAAATAATAATAGGCATAGACAATTAGCTCTGGATTCAAAAAGTCTGTTCAAGAATTAGATCTGTTACAGAAATATGTGAAGGCCAGACAGTGGCTCTAAGAGCAAAACAAGAAGCTTGCTTCTTACAGAGGGATTAACATAGTTTGCCAGCCCAGATTAGTCTCCTCCTTTGGAAGAGGAGCAGTAAATAATTTTTCTCCCTTTTCAAGGTACTTAGAGTTTCTTAATCCACACAAAGGTAAAATACTTTTAGAAAATACCTCATAGGTAATGCAGCTCAGAAAAAAAGTAGGTTGGTATACGTTGGTATAAGAGCTGTGTTCAAAAGTCTCCTGGGGTTATTGTTTGCTGTGAGCGCTGGCAGGCACCAGGCTGGGAGGGGCTTCAAGCATTTTGGAGGATAGGATTATAATGCAGAATGATCTTCACAAATTGGAGAGGTAGCCTGGGGGAAAAATAGAATAAAATTTAATAAGGGGCTAAAAAAACACATAATTTTTTTTTGGCTGTAATACTTGAAAGACATGGCTTGAAAGATGGCTCGAAAGATGATTCAAGTTCCTTGAAAGTATAATGTTCAGCACATAGCTGAGACAACCAGCGCTGCAGGCACAAGACTGGGAGAAACAAGGTAACTCACTGTTTTACAGGAAAGGATCCACAGGGTATCTTATCACAAGCTGGAACATGAGTCAACAGTGTCATGCTTCTGTGAAAAATCACTTGTAGAGGAAAATTCTGCATAAGCAGGAATATTGCCTGCAAGAGTGTGAAGCAATCCTTCCGCTCTGCTCAGCAGTGGCAAGGCTGCCGCTGAAGGCTTGCCTCCACGTTTGGGCATCACCCTCCGTGGGTGAGCAGAACCAGTGGGGAGCAACACAAACAGCAATGGGCCTTTGAAGACAGGATTGGGTTAATTAAAATTGGTTTTAATTGATTTTTCTCCAGAGAGAGAGAGAAAAAGGATAAATTGAGACGGGTTGCTAGGATCTTCAACAGGAAAGGAAACTGTTTGTTCCCCATGTCCGCGGTTGGTTGCATCACAGGAAAACTACAGCAAGGTTCAAGTCTGACATTAGGAAACACCAGTAAAGGGAAGTCTCACAGAGCTGACCACTAGAAAGTGTTTAAGAAAGTAAATCTTAGTCAGGAAAAACAGATTTGGTCTTGCCTGTGTGGTTCACCAGGATCCCACCAGGTCAGATAAGTGTCCTGACTCCATCTTGCTGAAAATAACTGGACCTGAGCAGGCAAGACAACGAAGAATCGTAGGAGGGAGATATGTGTAATGTGTATAGTGATGACACCATGTATTGGGGAAGATGTGTTTTGCATTTGTGTTTGCTGTCTCCATCCCAAACTCAAGCTAGTAACATTTGGTATGATGTTAGGATGTTATTTGCTTCTAACTCTAAAGCTTTATTAGTCCCCTGTATTTTTATTTCCTTCTCCTCCTTCAATTTTTATTTATTTATTTTTTTTTCTCCCACTGGGGAGAAATGGGGAAGGGTTTCTCACTCTTTAATCCTATTTTTTTTTTTTTAATTATTTTTACAGGGATTAGGAAAGGACTCTGGCAAATCTGCGTGAGGATGATGACCTCTTCATTATCACTGTGGAAAAGGGGAAGATCCCTGCTAAGCTTGAGCAAGGCGAAATGAGGGCAAAATTTTGCAGACTGAACATTTTCAAAGCATAGTCTAGAAAAACTGAGGAGAAAATATCTCACTAATAAATATTTATTAAAAGTAGAAAAATTGCCTCAGCTGTGAAAGACAACTATTACTGAAGCATGAAAAAAGGATGTTGAGCCACTTAAAAAGTACAATTTTAAATGTAATGCAAACTATATCATGCATAAATCAGAACCTTTTTAATTGACCAAAACTAATCATCAAGTATTTTTTTTTTCTCTTAATGGGCTTACGACAAAATAAGATTTTACATTTGCTACCAGGAAGTATCATTGTTCTTAGGGTACGAGAGCTTTCTTGTACTTTTTTGTTGTTGTTAGGTATTGCAATCAATGTGGAAAGTCCCTTGACATCAGTCAGAGATCTCTAGAGACTGAAAATTTCAGCCACAGCTAGAAATCATAGAAAATAGACCTGAGCAGCACCTTAAGAGGTCCTCTAGTTCATCCTCCCTCTCTCATAATTGAGGAACAGCCCCAAGAAAATAATTCTCAAGAGATTTTTGTCTCTCTGGTTTGTAAGAGCCATCAGCGACGGAGAGTCCTCTGCCTCCCCAAATGATCTATTCCTGAGTTTCATTAACTGAGAGGCAGAGCCTGAATGGATAAACTCTGGCAGGTCTTCTCTGGCTAGGTAGGAAACTCTTGTTAAAGTTTTCCCATCCCATCCTATTGTCTGAGGTGTCTGCCCAGCAGCTGGAGAGTCAAAATGGAGAAAGCCCCAGAGCTCCAAGCTCACCACCAGGCTGCCAGTGCCCATGCAGGCAGGTGGCTGAGACACATTTATTTTTGCTGTGGGTGGAGGAGCTTCTGGAAGAGGGCTGGGGGTTTGAGACAGGGATGTCTTCAGCTACTGGCTTCTTGCTGATTCCTGCAGCTTCCACTTAGAAGGGGACTTAACAGCTAGGGGGAAGGGAGCAGAAAGGAAAACAGCTTTGGAAACTGTCCCTCCAGGCCTTTTATCTTGGTGGAGAAGGGACAGAACAGCCTGCCAGCTGTTAGTGCTTGTTTTTCAAGCTCTTTCGGTGAGTGTGCTTGGCAGCTTCCCCATGACCTTCGCAGCTGGCTCTGCAAGGGAGCGGAGCTCTGTAGCTGCGACCACAAGTCGGCAGGCGAGGCCTGGCCTGCTCGTCCCCCGCTTCCCACACGCCAGGTTCTCTCTGAAGCACCACGCTTGGCTGCGTATCTGCAACTGCCTGCACCTCACACCACCTGCGCTCGTTGTCTGCTGCGAGGGGAGTGTTGGTGGTTTTCACACTCACAGTGGTGTGCTCGTGCTGTGCTGAAAATGGCATTGCACTTTATGTAGTGCGCTAAGAGCTCTGGCTGGGACTTAGAAATGCATTTTTTACAGCAAGGTGTTCCTAGCTGCTGCTGTCAGAGTATGTGCCCCTCTGTGGACAAGCACCCCGGGGTCCACCTCGCTTGTTCAGCCCTCAGGGTTTCTGAAAGTGTGCTGGGGAACAGCCTGAGGAGCCAAGGCCAAGCAGGGAGCTCCGCGAGAGTTTTGTCAGTAGCAGGGGAGACGTGGCAGCAGAAGTCTTCCTACACGTGCTGACATGCTGCTGAGGACACCTCTGGTTAACTGGGGTTACAGCCCATGCCACTGCCTGCTGCTGCGACTGTCCTGGACTGTGGATGAAGCCTGCAGGGGTGTGCACATCGGCTGCCCTCATGTCCAGGTGGGGTGGATGCAGGCAGGGGGCAGTGCTTCATCCGGGGCTTTTCTTCCACGAATGTCGCTGTGCACACATATAATTACATATAACACGAATGTATATATAAATACATACATATATAATGTCAAAGGCAGGGTAGCTTATCCTGTATTATAGCACAGACTGCACATAACCAGGAACTCACTGCAGACACTTTGCTTCCTAGTTGCAGTTATGTGGCTCACATCCCTTCCCACAAACAGTTATATGTCTCCCATGGCAACTGCAGCAGTTGCACAGAAAAATAATGTTAGGAAAATACGTATATTTAGCTGTTTCGATGAAAAAGGGCCTGTTCCAGGGCAATCGAACACCCAAACGCCAAACTCTTTCAGTACCTGTGGGAGAGGCTGCAAACAGTTTCCCCCTTGAGCGGCTCTGTCTGAGCTCAGCTGGAGGCAAGGAGGGCAGGCAGGGCTTTTTGTCTGGCAGAAACAGGTACAGAGCAGCTAGGAAATCCTGGGGCTGTCAGCATTTGCAGTTTGTGTTTTAGCCACTGGGTGCCGCTGCCCATTCAGGTGACAAAAGCAATTTCCTCAGCAAATAAAGAGATTGTAATTTTAACAGCATGCGTTGTTACAACTCAGCCTGCGACACCAGGTTTTGCGGGGCTGCCCTTTGTCCAAAGGTTTGTGCAATAACCATCTCCTCGCAGTCGCTGAAGGGATTCAGTTCAGCTGCAGTCAAGATGTTTCTTCACAAAAGAGTGACTTTTTATTAAAGTGCACAAGTGATGGGTGAGTGGAATTAATAATAGAAGGACGTAAAAAAGAACTTTAAGAGGTATTTCATAAAAAAGGTATGGCTTATAAAGAGGGTTAAAAGAACTGATTCTTATGATATGATTTGAGATGAAGCCTCTAAAAATAAGCTATACACCTCTACTGTTACACAAACTGATAAAAAGTATTAGTGAAATGAGATGATCAATTAATCCTATTCCAAAGTTTATGGATTACTTAAAACTTTTCCTTCATGGTAATTAAGAAAATTCTGTTTCAGTGTTGTTTTGTTTTGTTTTGTTTTGTTTTATTGATTGCAGATTTTTAAAATCTGCTTTTTCACATTACCCTCACTTGTGACCTTTGTTATGTCAGGAACTGATGGATATAAAGTAACCCAATCACAGCAGTCTAATGATATATTCAGACTTGAGAATATTTATTTTGCAGCCCTCAATAGTTAGGAAAATGTGTATTTTCTTACATGGGAAAAGCATATGTCCCAACATAAACAACTACTTATCAAAAAGCCCATCAGCGTTTTACAGCAACTTCAGGTACATGAAGAAAATGTGATGCTGTCAAGTCATGTCTCCAACGCAGATGGGCAGGTGCCAGCTGGAAGCCACTGATGCTGGCATTGAGAGGCAATGTCAAAAGATGGGGAGAGGAGGATGTGGTGGCTGGCTTGAGAAGAAGAGGGAAGGGTTGGTAGCAGCAGCACTAAGGACAAGTGCAAGGAGAAAAAGCAGCAGGCTTTGAGGGAGGGCATGTAATGATACTGATTTTCTTTAGTGAGCCTCTCTGATGAAACAGTTGGGAGCCACTGACCTAGATTTCATGGCTCTGCAGGCAATAAAGACCATTTTCTCATCCTGGAATTCATAACTTCTTCCTGGAAATCATAACTTCTTGAATGCTGCTGGACCCTGGCCAAATCAGATATCATTTCACTGATCCTCTGCCTAAAATCAATTTATGATAGTGCAGCATTGAGAAAGCCTGACAAATAACTTCACAGAGCTGTTCTTGGTTGTAGAATGGATTTCTTATTTTAAACAGAAATTTGCCTCTATTCATAGCCATTTGCTTTTACTTTCCTGATATTAGCTCACGCAACAGTGAGTTTCAGGCATGCATTTCAATGTCAAGCCTTTGAAAAGAATTTCACATTTTTTGGTTATTTATATATCACCTTGTTTCACTTCCCTGTGTTCTGCAAGATCCATGATTTTAAAGAGTAAATAAAAGAAATTAAGGGTGGCTTCATGCCATTTCCGTGCAAGGTACAGGACTGATGTTCCCACAGGAAATATTCTTCTCGACTCCCTAAATGTGAGCTCAGTAAAAATCCCCAGATTCTCATTAAATGGCTGGAATGTGTCAGACTGGAGAAATAAAAACACTCTGCTGAAATAGTTCAGAGAAGGTTCTGGCAGCCTCCTGCCTGATGTGTGCGTGAGTGCGCACATGTACGTGTGCACATACGTCCTCCTGCCCTGCTCCGTGGTGGCTGGGCGGCTGGGATGCCTCTGGTGCTGGATCCAAGTGGCCCACGGCCATACCTCCTTTCAGAGAACGTGGTATCTGCTCCACAACAGGAGGAACCCCCCTTCCAAAATACCCAAATCCTCTTCCAGACAAATTCTGGTGAGCACAGCAGTGCTGGGACTCTTTGGTGGCAGCGAGGGCAGGAGCTGGGAGGTGCTCGCAGTTGCTGGAAGAGAAGAACAAGCACTTGACCCTGTTTGCAGATGTAATCGGTGTTGTGTTTTCCCAGACTGATACCTAAATCCCTTTCCCTTAATAAAGAGCTCTCTGTTTGCATTGTTTCTCACATGCCTGCATGCAGCAGGTGTAAAGGCATGCAGGACCAGTGCCTTTAGCTTTCACAGGTCTCAGGAAGTGGGCTCAAGTTGCTAATACACTTGGCAGATGATTGACAATTGCATTCATCACAGTGGGAAAGAACAATATTTATTTAAAGAAGTAAACTAATGAAGAAGATGGCAGAAGGATGGGGGAGGAGGCAGTCACACAGCCCAACTGCCAGAGAACTGGTGGATAGCCGGAGTTTCGTATATTGTAGGTGTTTGTGCTAAACAAAGACAACTGGTTTTGTCCTGGTTAGAGCACTGGTCAAACTCATCCTGTTTTTCAAAAAAAGATCTAACAGGAGCAAAAGTGCAGATGCAGCGGAGGAGGCCTGATTCAAGCAGCCACTTTTTTTTTTTTTTTTTTTTTTTTTTTTTTTGATGCCCCACACAGGCAAGCTGGCGGGAGCAGAAATCTAAGATTTCCTGCAAAAAAATGCAGTGTGGTCTTCTGTAGTGAAGACTGGAGAATAAAACAGCGAGAGACCTACTAAGCTTCTCAGCAGGGGAAAGAGCCTGCCCACCTTCACGTGCACAGCTGAACAAATACTCCGCCTGTGCTGCAATCCAAAGATGCGGTGTCTGAGCCTCCTTGCCACTATTAGCTTTCTAAGCACGGCACAGCAACAGCAGGCTTCAGCTGAAGCTTGCACAACTCTTGCAAAAATCAGTGCTACTGCATCTTGGCTAGAGATGGCTTGGATATTCCTGAAAAGCATTGCAGAAATAATCCTAGCCTGACTGCCTTCTGGAGATGTTGTTCTGACTCTAAAACAACAACAGCTCAGGGAAAAAGAAATGAGCCTGCAGAAGGATCCAAATGCCTCAGACAGGTTCCATTGCTCTCTACGGATGGACCTAAGCTTGGGGCCTGAACAGAGCTG